CTGATCCACAGTAACTAGAGGTAAGGTACTGACCCATGATAACTAGTCATACAGATGCCTGTATTCTTTTTGTTGTTGTCATGCTTATTTGTAGTTGATGTCTTATTGGTTAAATTATTTATTTAGAAATATTATTTTGTTTATAGTATTCTAAGACTAATGTATTTTTTATAACCCCCATTCTTAAAACTAAAATGAAAATCATATGTGTTTTTACCAGTTTAAAGTAATTAAATAATTCAATATCAAATAAACCGTACTAGCCTTAGCAAAAGTTGTCATATTTTTGAAAACAGTCTCAAAACTGAAAAATTTGAGCAGTTTTTACTTGTTTTTAACAGATAGTTTTGATAGAATAAAACAAATGTATGAGAAAACTACTACATATTCAAGTACACTGGATCTGTAAGAACGTGTTTTAGAAATAATTAGAATTTTCATATAAAAAAAATTTTTCCAGTAGAATTAATTGGGTTTTACTGTAAAGTAAAAAGTTAATTACATACACTGTGAATTTATGTATAAAAAATAGAACAGTCAATAACTTGTGCATAAAAAATAGAACAGTCGGTAACTTGTGCATAAAAAATAGAACAGTCAGTAACTTGTGAATAAAAATAGAACAGTCAGTAACTTGTGCATAAAAAATAGAACAGTCAGTAACTTGTGCATAAAAAATAGAACAGTCAGTAACTTGTGCATAAAAAATAGAACAGTCATTAACTTGTGCATAAAAAATAGAACAGTCGGTAACTTGTGCATAAAAAATAGAACAGTCTGTAACTTATGCATAAAAAACAGAACAGTCAGTAACTTGTGCATAAATAATAGAACAGTCGGTAACTTGTGCATAAAAAATAGAACAGTCAGTAACTTGTGCATAAAAAAATAGAACAGTCGGTAACTTGTGCATAAAAAATAGAACAGTCAGTAACTTGTGCATAAAAAATAGAACAGTCAGTAATTTATGCATAGAAAATTGAACAGTCAGTAATCATTTATATTTTCTGTTAATGAATATTATGAAATTTTATAATTGACATAAGATTTATTCAAGTTTGTAGAATACATATGCAAATGAAGTTTGCTGTATTGTTATAGATATTCAAGTTTGTAAAAGTTTACTAGTGTTGTCTCTGCTGGGTTTAAATGTTTGAATGGTTTAATTTCCTTTTTTTCCAGGCCAGTGACGCCAAACGATACTCAATCTTTAGAAAAGAAGGTGTTACAGACGGTCGATATGATCATAATGAAAAAGAAAAGGTCTGTCCTCGTATTATAAACAAAAATCTAAATGTATGTTTATGAAAAAATGCTGTGTCATTAATTTTATTTGTAACTCAATTCAATTTAATAAATTTGGGAGGCTTGGCATGGCCTAGGTTGTTAGTGTGTCCAGACTTTGAATCCAAGGTGGATTATAAAAGTGGTGGCAAAATCTCCCTATTTAGTGAGACAAGAACAGTTGGTTATGGCTATTCTTTGGCTCTCTGCTTTCCCTCTAGTCTATAAGTTCTAAATTAGGAACATATGTAGCTTTATGCAAAAAATTTGAAATGAACTAATAAGAAAGTAAAAGCAGTACAGTAATACCCCGTTTAGTGCTCAGGAAGAGTTCCTGAGAACAGAGCTCTAAACAGGGTCATTTTAACATTACATATATGGAGATATGTAACTGAAGGCATTGTTTCTTATCTGAGAACATCGTATAAGTGCTTTATTTAGGTACTGGTAAACATAGATTGTTACAGTACAGTATTATTTATTAAAGTTAATGAACACAAACAGTCTTTAAAAACAAAAAAACATGTCAAACTGGTGCCAACCCCAGGGTGGAAGGCAGCAGGTACGTGAGGCAGTGGACATCATTTGGCTCTTCTCATCACTGAAAGGAAAAAAAAGAGCAACCTATAACAGAATCAGGTTACTGTAAAAACATTCTAATGTTCGAACAAAGGGAGACCACTGTGCAGCATGTGTTTAGCGGCAAGCATAATTTATAAAGAGCACTGTAATATTCAAAGAAATCCTGAACTTACCCTAGTGGGAGAATTGTGACATTGTTTCTCTAAGCATCCCCTCTTCTCTATTTCATTCATCACTCCTCCAATAAGTATGAAATTTAACATAAGTTACCCACGGGTACGATATTCTGTAGATGGATGACGATTTAACGGTTCATATTACATTACTAGAAATGGCAGAATAATTTTGATAGTTATGTGACATTGTCTCCTTTTGGCATGTTATTATTTTATGTTCTGTGTTGCATTATTTTATTAAATAAAAATTATTTAATGCCCTACTTCCATTAGTGAGAAAAAGTAGTGTTCAAAGAGTTATGGATTTTCATAATTTTTTCTCTCTCTCGTGAAAAAAAATAACTCAAGGAGACAAGAGCTCTATAACGAATCAGCTTAAAGCGGGGTCTTACTGTACTTTCTATGTAGCACAACCGAACAGAGAAGAGATTGAAAAGATGAAACAATTCTCTTTGAATAAATTAGTATTTAAAAATAAAAAGTGAGATTTGTTGATATTTTCAACTCAATGACACCCCTTAGAGCCTCCTGTTGGTTTCATAGTTTGAGAATCCTGCACTTATCTGCCATTTCCAAATTAGGGACAGCTATACAAAGAAAGCCTAAATATAGCTTTGTGTAAAATTCTGAAGCAAACATTAATTTTTTGAAGGAGTACGAACCTTTCACCATAAAAAGGAAGGAAATATTCTCTGACTTACTATATACAAACAAAATATATCACTTTATTATGAAATGTATTGATAAATTGGATATTTTAAAAATTATCAGAAGTTAAGAATGATCTAATAGTGTGTTTTCCTCATTATAAGTACTTGTTCTTTATTATAACTTCTTGTGTAGTTCTATCACTCCATAACTAATTCAACCTATTTAAGAATGGTAACTAATTTGTTACTTTGCTGGCAGAGTTTAGTTACTGGATGGATGTTATAGAACTAGGATTAATAAAATGTTCATGTTGGAGTTTATAAGCTCTTACAACTTGGCTATGAACAGTCATCCAGTCCCTACAGCATTATTATTAAAAACAACTCTAGTTATGCTAAAGAAAATATTATGTATAATTAAAAACAGGTATGATATCATACCTTTAAACTTAAAACATCTTAAAGATAATAGTGTTAGTATGATACAGAAACCATGTGTGTGTGTGTGTAAATTAATTACTCTTACCAGTTTTGTAAGGTTTGTTTGTGTGGTCAGGGCTGATAATGTACAGAAAACATGAATTACTCATAGTTTAGAACTAAGACCACATGAGAAGTTGCTTAGTTTAAACAGTGCACAAGTCAAAATTGTATTCCTAATGTATTAAGATTTACAGTAAAATTTAATTAATAAGAGCATGTTATGACCAAATCTGATGAATCGCTGAGTGACTGAAATATTGCAAAACTAGCTACATCATCACAATCTTCATGATATATGCCTTCCCAGTGGCTCAGCGATATGCTTGAGAAGTTATTATGCCAAATATTGAGGTTCAATACCAGTGTTTAACACAGCACAAATAACCCATTGTGTAACTTTGGGATTAAAAACAAAGAAACAAAACATATTGAGATGTTCCTCAGGCCAGAACTTCATGCCTGTGTCCTCAAGTATAACTTCAATTTTTAAGTTTCTGAAACTAAATCATTATTGTTTAGATAGTTTGACAGAATTCAGTTAAGTTTTATACAAACTATATAAAAGTAACAAATTTAAGATGTTGTGGAATTAAATTTGATTATCATAAAATATTACTCACCAGTTAATAAAGGAATTATTTAAGCTCTGCTGTTTTAACCTTCTTTTTTTTTTTTTCGTTCTGTAATGTTTATAAATAAAATGCCTCTTCCAGTGTCAGGTTTATTTTTAGACACACAATAATAATAACAAAAAAAGACATGTTTGATAGTTCATTACTTATCTGGAACTTATAAACTTGATAAGTTTCAAAAGGAATACCCTTTCTTCATGGTGATACAAAATTCCAAGCTCACGTGGTGGTTAATATCAGGTTGTTCAACGCTAAAACAAAGGTTACGGAGTGTATCCCACGTATGTGCTTATGACACTTCCCTAGAGTGAGAGTTAACCTTCATTTCCTATTTCACAAATGTATTTCAAAGAAAATCCAAAAAGAACTATCTGAAAAACAATGTTCTTGCTTTCAGAATTGCTCTAGCGGAACGCGAGAAACTTCTGCAACCTGGTAGTGGCAGCCAGGGGTCAGTTATATGGAATATGTTGAAGAGTGTGACCACTTCACAGTATGGATCATCTGAAAGTATCCTTGTTCATGTTGTTAATACATCTAGTATTCCCTTCAAGTTCATTTCAGATCCTTGTTCATGTTGTTAATACATCTAGTATACCCTTCAACTTCATATCCTTGTTCTTGTTGTTAATACATCTAGTATTCCCTTCAAGTTCACTTCATATCCTTGTTCATGTTGTTAATACATCTAGTATTCCCTTCAACTTCATATCCTTGTTCTTGTTGTTAATACATCTAGTATTCCCTTCAAGTTCACTTCATATCCTTGTTCATGTTGTTAATACATCTAGTATTCCCTTCAACTTCATATCCCTGTTCTTGTTGTTAATACATCTAGTATTCCCTTCAAGTTCACTTCATATCCTT